AAATCAAACTGACAAGGTAATTGAATTCCGCCACATATTCCAATAGTTCTTCTCCCATTTTTATAGCATTGTTGTGATCTTCCGGGGGAGTGCACATGATTTTAGTTTTGTCGATGTTTAGCTTAAGGCCCAAAGCCTCGTATGCCCAGGTATATGTGTTCAACATTTCTTGTAATTGTTGTACCGTGTTTGCAACTAGAGCGCAGTCGTCAGCGTATTGAAGTTCTGTGATAAATTTTGTACGTGTTTTTGCCCTGAGTCTTTTTATGTTGAACAGACCGCCGTCATATCTGTATCTAATGCTCAATCCTCTCTCCTGCAATTTGATGTCCACTATAATGGAGAGCGCTGCCATGAATATGTTGAATACGAGAGGCGCTAAGACACATCCCTGCCTAACTCCTGTATTTGTTAGGAATGGGTCGCTCAGTGATCCATGTTGATATACTCTTGACTTGTTGTTGTTATGGAGGCTTTTACACACTGTAAGAAATTTGTTGGGTACTCTGAACTTTTTCATAATTGCCCAAAGTGCATCTCTGTTCACAGAGTCGGAGGCTTTTGTTAGATCGATGAATGCAACATAAAGTTTAGACTGCTGCTCTTTTACTTTTTCCTGTAGTTGACGGATGGAAAATATGGAATCGACGGTGCCGCGGTTGGTACGAAAAATATGACAATATGACTCCCATTTGACTCCCAGTAGGGAGCGCCACCTACATGTGTTTTAACTGTCTTGAAGAGTAATAACTTTTCGTCCGTACCTGTATAAAAGTACTGAGTGAAAAAATATACATTTCCGTGACTTTTTATACAAAAAATAAATGTCTCTTGGTAAAAAATGTCTCTTGGTAAAAATCGCTATGAGTAACCGTTCTCAAGATATTTAGGACGGAAATAATCAATACATGTCATTGCTGGCAAACAATAGATACGTTGAGTAGATAGTTATTTGACTGAAATAATAAATTCGGGAAAAACTTATTTTTCTTTAAATTAATTGGAAAAGAAATGACGATAAAACAGTTTTTGTTGAACTTTTGGGTACAAAAACATTTCAAATTTATGATTCCAGTATAATAATAACTATTTACTCGATATGTTTAATTTGTGTCATGATGACAGGTATTGATAATTTCGATTCCAAATATCTAGAAGAACCGTTACTCGTAGCGATTTTCCAAAGAGACCTTTTTTACGCAGAAAACGTCGTAAATGTGCTACTGAGTAGTTTTTACTCAGTAGCTTTATACAGGTACGGTCGAAAAGTTATTACTCTTCAAACCATTTAAAAAATATGTAGATGGCGCCCTCTACAAGTAGGAGTCATATTGACATCAAAATCAAATTTCTCGTGTCAAAAAACTCAGACACCAATTTTCATCCAAATATTGACGTTACTTCAGAAATTATTTAGAAAAAATCAAAATAAAAATGAAATTTCTACACCCTGTATTTCCAAAATTAAGCATTTTAAGACATACATCTATACGAACTTTTTACTTATTTTTATCTGCAGTTTGGACCACCCTGTATTACATTTATAAGGATGCCTATGAAAAAGTTGGTGGAAATAGGGATTGCCATCATAGTTCAAAGTCGGTCCTATACTTTATACAGACTGGTCAACAGTGTATCGGGCATTTGCAGCTTCTATAACAAGAAACTTCCTAAGGTATCCTAAAGTATGTGTTAGGATGTATTTCAGGAAAATATGCTAACTTCTACAGGGTGGCTCAAAAAAGTGTGAGTGGATTTGGATGATTTTTTTTAAATGGAACGCCCTGTATATTATTCGTTTGTTAAATAGAAAATTAAAAATTAAATATTTTTTGAATTTAAATTATTTCAAAATTTTTAACGGTTTCGCAAATATTCGCGTTTTAGTTACATAATGGCCCTTTGAACGATAAAATACCAGACTGATATTGGCACAAGAGAGATCAGATTTTAAAATACATTAAATATAAAAAATGTTACACTTAATTATTGTAGATTTTTGAACTGTTCCAATAAAACTAACTGTTAATACTTTTCTTTGTGTACTTATTTTTCCGAGGCAAACTTACTCAAAGGTATGGTTTTGATTATTTATTAAACTGACAACTAACGTTCTTTCACTTTGAATTTATTAATCCCATCGATAATTAGCGCTAATTAAAGCCAAAATCAGGAAAAGCAGGATCTAATGAGATAACCCCAAGTAAATTCAAATTTATTAATATTAACTTGGATTTAAACTGAAAATGGTATCGATTATTTCGCGTCAATTTCATAGGAATGAATGGTTTCGCTTTGCCACATTCTCGCAGGTTTCTGCCTATATAAGCGCATATAAATAACCATTCTCTCTGTATGGATAGGTAAGAGTTAACGATAGAAATAAAAGGCAACGCATAGGATGATCGCGTGCGGAGAAATTTTAATAAAAAGAGAGTAGAATGTTACAGTAAAAAACAGTTGCGGGAACGTGGTACTTCCTATTACAGGAGATGGATTGTAAATCAGGATGGTTCTGTAGTTTAGAAATAGTTGAGGATATTTTCCATACATCAGCCGCAGTGTATTAAAAAATAGTGTTGATTCTAGTAGGTATCATACGATCAAAAAAGGCGTCAAAAATGGCTGTGAAATGACAATCAATGATAACCTTGACGAGGTTTAGCTCTAGACCTCATTTTCGTGACGCGTACTCTTCTTTACTTTTTAATGGCACTTACGGCCTTAGTTTGGCCTTAAGAAGGTTGGAATTTATTTTTATATTGATTAACAATGGGATAGTTTAGTATTGGGGTAATGGGTGACTTCCGTTATCCTCTTCTAGGCAACATCTGCAAGGTTTACAAAACTGTAACCTCCGAGGAAACGTTTGCGGGTCCTATACAAAGTCGGACACAGGAACTTTGTTAAAAGAGATTCCAATTCTCGCCGCAGGTTCACAAATTGGGCAATGTCCCATATATACAGCCGTTAGCCTGTCGATATCCTTACGCGACTTAGTTATGAGCTCTCCCGATATCTTAAGGTAGTGTTTGGGCCAAGTTTTCCTGGCTGTCCTGCAGGTGCTTAAAGTTTTCCATCTACTGTTGGCTATAGACAGAAAATGGAGGTAAATGTCTTTTTCTATGGTATTGGGGGGAGTAAATATGTCTTCTTATGGAACTTAGCCTTCAAGGAAGTTCATCAGCGCGTTTGTGAACCGTTGGAACCCAAAGTAAAGTCATATCATACCTACTTGCCACGTAGAACAACCTGGCGTATGTTTTTGGATATTTTGGAGGATATGCATATGAGTTTATCGCCGACATAGCTGCTTGGTTGTCAGTGATTATTGCAGTTTTCTGCCCATAAGGTGTCTCCTCGCTCAGGCATTCGCAAGCCTTCCAAATAGCAAGTATCTCTGCCTGGAAAACACTTGATCTATCCGGAAGCCGATAAGAGCTTGTGATGTGAAGACCCTACAAGAAAACCCTCGAACCTACATCTGAATCCATCTTGGATCCATCAGTATTAATTATTTATCAATCGATATCAATAGCGCAATATCAAATTCCTTCACTAGTTTGTTAGTCTCCCATTCCTTTCTGGTTTGAATTCAGACTAAAATGTTCCTGCCAAGTACCAACTTAGGTGACATAAAATCTGATGGTTCAGCAATAATATCCTTCAATAATCTTCCAAGAATACTGTAGTGACCGTAGGGTTTCCCCGTCCCGCAACCAATTTCTGTGAGGGTGATTACATTACTAGATAAGTTTGTGGGATATTGGCATGTTAACTAAAATGTTACTTTCAGAAAATGAAAGTTTGTTGATTTAGAGATATAAAATATTTCCTATTAAAAACTACTTAACTTTGAATTTGCAATTTGCATCAAAATCAAATGAAGTCGTCGAAGCACGTAATATCAAATAGACTAGTAAATATAAAAGCAGTGTTTTTATAGCTATAGCTACTGAGAATTAAGAAAAAATCACCCACGCGCCTTATATCTTCTAGTTCATTGTTTACTTTATCATTAATCTGTCAGTTCCGATTCAACATATTTATCTGATATGGTATAACAAACAAGTCAAATTGAATTTCTAAAGTCATTTGTCTAAAATGCCTTCAGTTCAGAGGAATAATGATCCTGGCACTAATTTATTTGTACCTGCTATCATTCTATAAATCCTTGAGATTTTATTTAAGGTACATTATATTAGGACATTTATTAGCAATTCTCGATTTGTAGTATTTTTTGTTTTGTGACATTGTGATTTATATTCATTCACATTTTTTGGAGAAGTTTGTATTTGGGAGGACATAATTATTTAATAACAGGTATTGATAATTTCGATTCCAAATATCTAGAAGAACCGTTACTCGTAGCGATTTTTCCCAAGAGACCTTTTTTACGTAGAAAACGTCGTAAATGTGCTACTGAGTAGTTTTTACTCAGTAGCTTTATACAGGTACGGTCGAAAAGTTATTACTCTTCAAACCATTTAAAAAATATGCAGATGGCGCCCTCTACAAGTAGGAGCCATATTTCCCATATTCGAAAACCATATTTCCCATATTCGAAAACCATATTTCCAGATTCTGTTTTTATTTTTTTATGACCATTTCTGGCCTGAGATGGGCCCTCATGAGAATCACCTTGATTATATGTTTCTGTTTAAAAAAATCAACATTTTTTGGAGAAGTTTGTATTTGGTAGGACATAATTATTTAATAAGGGATATAAAATATATCCAGTTCCGTATTTAAACAAATACAGTTGACTATGTAAGCTCGAGAACGGTTTAGGGGTGCTTGTAGTTTGGATTCTTATACGCGACACTCTGTATACAGTATACAGGTGAAGTTTATAAAACGTCTTAAACAATATTTTCCCACTGAGACTTTTTCCATTCATTTCAATTCATTTACTTACTAAGTTCGTCATAATATTTTTAATAATTTATAATTCATAATTTGTATTAAGATCATCACTAATTATTTTTATTTCTTTTCAGTACACTGTAGCTGGATGCGTTGAACGGTAAGTAAATCAACAACTGATCAAGAAAGTTAGAAAGTATTAAAGCCAATAATGGTTCAATTCTCCGAAAAAAAATATTACGCGATTACGCCTAAAAACAAAGCTACGACTGTAAATTAAAGGATCTTATTTTATAACAAAAATCGACCACTAAAATGTATTGCTTCTGATATATCCAATCCAATCTAATAATTCCAATACATGTGAACAGGAGCCAGTTTAATACACGATGGCACGTTGAACATCGCTGGATGTCACGAGGAACCAAGGGCGAATGCGGCAATTGTTTAACCAATTACATCTATTATTCCTGTGAACAGTGCACGAAGTGATCAAGAGACGTGGCAGAAAAATGAATGAACGAAAGCTGGAACGCCCGGAATTGGCACATAAAAGGCATGTTCAGTAAATATAGTGTATAATGGTAGAATATATCGGGGGTTAATCACCGCGACTTTACACATCTATTGTGTCCCCCTTTCTTGGGTTATAATCAGTTATAACTCATCGTACAGTCTTAGGACTTCGACAAAAGCCAGTATTTGACATAGTTTTACAGAGATTTTTTACTCCATCTCCGATATCAGTCCTACCAAATTTTATGTCACGAATGGTTGTCGTCTAGGCGCATCCAGTGATGAGGTGTTCTGGTGTTTCCCCATTTCCCCTACAGAATATGCATTCGTCGTGACAATCCGAAGATTGTTCTTAGTGTTGATTAAAGGAATGTTTTCAATCAACGTTCTTACTTAAATCAAGGAAAATCTTTGATTTTTCTGGCAAGTTTTGAAAAATTTCTTTGAGTGTCTTAGACCGTCGGAGGATTCCCATTCCAGGTTAGGGATGGAACTCTGGATTTCACCCCGTGGAACGCTCACCAAGGGATAATAGGTAATGAAAAAGCAAATGATCTAGCAAGAAAAGGAGCGAACACCCCACAAACTGGACCAGAATCGTTCTGTTTTCCAAGCGGAAACCAACTAAAAGAGGAACTGAAGAACCTGTAATCCGTAACCTGAAATGGGAGTCCTCCCACGGTCTAGGACACTCGAAAAAGTTCCTCAGAAATTACGACTCAGAAAAATCAAAAATTTTCCTTGATTTAATTAAAAAATAATCATTGTCATGGGGTTTGTCATGGGTTTCTAACAGGACGCTGTCTCCTCAACGAACACCTCAGTAGGCTGAAGCTGAGGAGCTACGGCAAATGCAGATTCTCTGGGGAAAATGGGAAAACACCAGTACACCTTATCGCTGAGTGCGCAGAGACGACGACCGTCCGAGACATGAACTTTGGTACGACTCAAGAACGGTAAACTAATAGGATTGCTCATCTTCATAAGACGTACGTTCGCCTCTTCAGCTGACAGTTGTGACGTCATTGTAGTCCTTGTCATGATAGTGTGTATTATTAGTTGCCTATGGTAAACTTATAAAAATAACAGCTGAGAAATTTTGAATTAATTATTTTGTCAATTTTAAATGTGAAAAAGGTGTCTTTAAGTTTTTAGAGCTATAGAGTGTATAAATTCGTTCATTTTGCGTTGTGGATACGGTAACAAAGTGCTTACTAAGTGCCTACGATATTGTTTATTAATTATTTTAAAGCAAAATATGGAAGTACTCTAAAAAGAATGCTTGCAAAAAGTGATGCTGGAAACTGCTGTTCTTAAAAATACATTATCCGAGTATTTAATACGATTTATGCAGTTAATTTTCTATACTGCATACATATAAGGTGTTTAAATAAATAAACTAAATAATGAACGTTTTGCATTCGGCAACCAATAATGCACGTGTGTGTATTATTGGTTGCCGAATAAGGACTAATAACCATGACAAAGACTACAATGACGTCACAAAGCGAGTAGTTTTCGCATGCACCTGGCGTACACTTTTGGCTGAATGAGCAGTCCTATTAGGTTAACTGTTCTTGGGTATGGCTGACGTCGAAGATCGAGAGCTGGCCTCCATGGAGTAGTCGTCTCAGATACTGGCTTTTGTTAAAGCTCTGAGACTATATGATGAGTAATAACTCATTATAACTGAAGAAAGGGGAACAAACAATAGATCTGTAACGTCACGGTAATTAACTCTCCTCCTAAACAATCTACATTCTAGGGATGGAATCTTCCAGGTTCTTCAGTTCCGCTTTAAGTTGGTTTCCACATGGGAAGCATCGGTTCTGGTCCATTTAGTGGAGTATTTGCTCCTTTTCTAGCTAGATCGTTTGCTTTTTAATTGCTTTCTATGCCTTGGTGGGCTGGCACTACTTTTATTCTAGCGAGCTGTCTTGTGGACATTTAACTAGATTTTATATAATTTTTGTTGTTGGCGTGTATGGAACAATATCCATTGATATGTTCATGTAATCAATTATCTTTTTACAGATCTTGGGGGCTCTTTTTAAACTTTTAAATTTATGGCGGTTTTCATCAGTGGTCTTGCGAATAAGTTAGCATCGGATTTAATTCTCTTACAATACGTAAGCAATCAATTGTTAACTTCTTCATTAACATTCTTGATTTGAGTTTTAGGTCATTCTAATTTGTTATATAAAATGGGGGGCTTCAGTTATTTCACGAAGGGTTTTGAATTGAAATCGTTCTAAAATTTCTATGTTTGATGTGGATGCTGTGCCCCACAATTGCAAGCCGTAAATCCATATGGGTTTTAGTATGCATTTATATGTATAGTTGGAGTTTATTTTCTAAAAATAGTTGTGATTTTCATCCTAAAGGACAGTAAAGTTTCCTTAACTGCTGATCAAGTGCTTTTCTCTTGTTTCCATATGCGTTTTCTAAGTCAGTCCTCTGTCCAGCCTAAATATTTGACTTCGTTAGACTGTGGTATTTTTATTTGGTTTAATTTTATTTCTTTAAGTCTACATGGGCCCTTATTGAGAACCTGCCGCCGATCAAAGTGATGGGAAAAATAAAAAGTTTAAATTTACGTCAGGATATCACGGCCTAACCTTTTTTCAGAGAGGTTACTTTATATAGACCTTATCTTCGTTTAAAAACCGTTTAAGATTGTTTTTATAAGGAAGACCGCTGGCTTTCTTCTCTGTGGTCGCTTAACAGATAGGGCGTTGACATTAAGTGAAAGTCATTTCTCGAGTCATTGCCAATGTCAATGGCTTTAATTGCGGCCGGAAAAAATGCTTAATTAAAGTAATGGAGCGCTACAAATATAACAGGAAGCGTGTGTGTGAAAATCAGAGTTATCGGTATATGCTAATGGAATATCTGTTTAATTAGTCCTCTAGAAAAATAAGTAAATTTAGAGGGGTTTTGAAAGATTGTACCATCATGTTTTAATAAAAAAATAGAAAAATAAATTTTGAAACCTTTTTTTTATCTACAGGATGTACCCGGATGCCGGAAACCGGCAAAGACATATATAAAACAATGCTATTTGTATGTTATGGATCTCTATGTTTACTTATTTCTGTGATATTAGCCCACTTTAGAAAAAGCAACATTGTGTATAAAATATTAATACAATTCGCTAAGGATTGTGAATGGATAATGGTTTTTCTAATAATTCTTATTAATCTGAAAATGGTTATTACAGCAAGACATGTTTGGAGATGTTTATAGATTTCTATGGTTATTATTGCGAGATGGTGAAAGTAAATTGAGATTTGATAGATGAAACAATATTTGTTTTATATACAGTACTTGATAAGCACAGTGTCATTTGCATGTAATTTACAAACAAAATATGCTGATTTCAGTATGTAAATAAAACTTTTAATTTATTTAAATTATCTTTAAATATTCAGCGATGAATGAAGAGTTGCATTTAATTTAATTTAACTGATAGGTATGCACCTTGATATCGTAAATAATTATCCATGTGAAAAAGTATAGATTTGAATAAATCTCACTAGTTTTTAACTAACGTTTTATATTATATGAACTATCTACAGTATAGGAAAATATGAGAACAAAATAATGAAGATCAATTGACTTGACACAAGTTAACTCTATACAAAAGCCCCTTATTTGTCCGTCTTTTTTCGTAAAAGGCTACTTCTAGTCAGGGTGCGATTATTTAAATAAACAATTTTTTTAATTTTAATCATGGATTTAAATTGTTAAATTGGATTCAACTTGTTCGAAAACTTATAATAAATCGAAAAATAACTGTAAAAGTTATAAAAACTTTTTCCTATATATAAAAAAGTATTCCTATAAGAAATTTACTAAGGGCTGGCAAAGGTTAGTCTTGGGTCGAGATTTCCGTATGTAAGAACAGTACAATGCGTTTATAACGTACTGAACAAAGAGAGAACAGTAAACACGTTGCCAAACGGATGAAATAAATCGAGAAACTGTACACATACACATTGCTAAGAGACGTGGAAGGGGATATAGCAGATTTGTCGCAGTTGACCGGTCGACCCAAACAGTACCTCTGTCAGTACTTAAAGTTCCAGGGAAAGGTGTACATCATGCCTTCAGCTTCACGATTTAATTACGTCTCGTGATACTTTATTTGTTTATTCATTAACGAGTCGTTGTAATTTTCCCAATAGCTTGAAAATTTTTAAGTGCAAGCAAGAAACACTTGCATTTTTGGTAAAAATAAGTGGAATTGAGTTGGTTTTCGACAGTGGTCGGGCTATTACAGCTCAGAATTCAAAATCGATATATCGAAATCTGTTAGAAATAATTGATTGTAGTATTTTTCCAAACCAAAACTTTCTTAATATTTCTGCTGTATTTTCTTCGTAGACAGTAAGTGAAAATCTTTATCAATAAAAAAATTACACGATTGCTGAAAACTGCTATGCTCTAAAAGCAAATGGATGGGTTGTTTACAATTTTTGAATGGAAAAAAACAACCTAATCGAATTTTTCTTATGTAAACATATTTGTAAAAGATCCTATCTTTAAAATAAAAAAAAGTTTCAATATCTAAAGTGTTACTTGAGTTATGGCGTGTTATGTGTTAAAAAGTTGAGTTTTTAAATTATCGCGATTACTGACGTT